ATGTTTTAAAGAGTTAGATGCGAGAGTTAGACGAATTGTTAATTTTGTTATGGTAGTATGTCCTTTTAGCATTGGAGACATTAGTAGAGAAGGAAGAGAGGAGTGACTGATACACATTATATTACAGCTAATAATAAAAAATATTATTATTATACTTATTATTATATTACAGATGATTTAATAATAGAATAACAAAAATATTACATAATTAAATAATAAAACAAAATTAATAAAAAAATATATATTGTTATATAATTTTCAATAATATTAATACATTTTTTTAGTGAACTATATGAGGTAAAGCATGATTTCATGTTGACTATGCAGAAGTCTACATCTAATCTTCAATTGAATTACTTGTTGGCAAGGAGGAACAAATTATATATTAAAGAAATCTTGTTTATTACTTGTATTTCTTATAGGAAGAGTTCTTTCTGTTAAAGCTGATTAATCAAGGAACTCTTGCTGGTTAAGCTAGTCAAGATGCCTGGTAAGGACACAAACATGCCAGCATCCAAAACACAACATATGCTGAACGTTTCAATAGAGCTGATACACCACAACCTCTCACTTTCTTTCCTCTCAGTCTATAAATGACAGCTAAGGTAGGGTCTCTTTACATCCTCCTGCTCCAGCGGAGGCTAAAAGCTTCCTCTCTTTCTAGTGATGGTAAGAGCCTTGCAAAATTAATAGAATTAATGAGGTCCCCTGTGGAGGCAGCCGAGTTGATCTTAAGAGTCAGACCTCTTTTTAGATCTCTCAAGTCCTGCTCTCTCTCGGACAGACCTTGTCTCTTTCTTCCTCCCGCCTATCCACTCAGCCAAATCCTGAGCGACTGTCTCTATCTTGAACACGGGCATTAAAGCATACCACATCTCCCAACACTGTTGTTGAGAACTACGCTGAAATGCCTCTTGAAATCGCTCTGCCAGACTCTGGAGACCCGCTCCGCTCGCTGCAATCTTTTTCACTCAAAAGCCTTCTTGATAAGCTCTTCACCTTCACAAAAGTGGAGGTGGAGGTCTGGTGTGCCATATTCACCAGTCATTAAGACTCCAGCAATGTGAAGTCTGATCGTAAAGCCACCTCAGCCATCTAAACGCTCTTCATTGCCTTGACTTCTCCAACCTTCCCCCATCAAACGATGACTAAAAGCATAGCTAACTATAAAGGGAAAAAAGCAGGCCCATAAGAGCTTGATTGCACATCCTGCTCAGGTTGCAATCACACATGGTTTTGTTATAACATTTAAGCAAACAAAAATACTGTTTATGACTAAAATGTCTTTCAGGAGTCAGACCTGCATTTTGAAAAAGAATTTGGTAAAATAAATTCTATTTAGAGTTTGCACTGAGAGTTTGTCTGAACAGACAACATGATATTCTATTCAAAAACAAAGTTTCTTTTTAGTGAAACTGTCATAGTTGTTAACATTTGACTCACTTATAGACAGGATGTTTATATGACATTAAGTAGTTTTTAACTACTGCTAAAGATTTAAATGAAAAAAAAGAAAATACATTTATTACAAAAAATTACATTACACAGCATGGGTCATTTATATATTATAAATATTTATTAATAACAAATAGTAAAAAAAGGGCAAACATTTGCCTATGTATTTATTTATTTATATATATAATTTATTATAATATAATTCTTAATCATCATCATCATCATAAAACATAATCATTTATAATAATAATAATAAAAATAGTAGTAAATAAAATAATAGATGATAAATAGATAGTCAAAAGTTATCAGATAAAATATATTTTGTTATAAAATTTGTATTTATTATAACAAAATAATAATAAATAGTATTATTACCAGACAAATAAATGAGGTTGTATTATATATATATATATATATATATATATTATTCCTTAATAATAATGATAATAATAATAATATACTCATAAAATGGAATAATTTATAATAATAATTGTAGTAGTTGCAGTAGTGAATAAAATAATAGATGATAGGTAAATAGTAATAAATAGGTAATACGTTATCAGATAAATAATATTGTATTAAATTTATTACATTATTTTAATTATTATATCAGAATAATAGTAAATATTACCAGATAAATAATATACATAATAATAATATTTTATTAAATTTTTACTCATTGAACAATTAATTATAATAACAATAATAATAATAATAATAATAATTATTATTATTATTGTTGTTGTTATTATCATTATTATGAGACAAGTTATTCATCAACTACCTAAAAACAGAATGCTGTAGAAAACACTGACCCAGACACATGATCAGACCCTTGAAGAATGGTGTCATCACAATACCCCTCAGACCCATCAGAGACCCCTGTTCGTTCAGTCTCCAAAACCTGTTCCACGTAACAGGAAGCTCAGCTGATCTACATGATTAAAACATCCTGCTCTAGGGCCGGTCAACCACACACAGCAGGCAGCGTCGTGTGACAAGGTCAGCCAAATGTCGTGTGAGGGTTTGAGTGTGTATGTGTGTGTGTGTGTGTGTGGGGGGGGGGGGGGGAGGGTGTGGGGGAGTGTGTGTGTGAGGGATTGAGTGTGTGTGTGTGTGTGTGAGTGAGTGAGTGAGTGTGTGTGTGTGAGGGATTGAGTGAGGGAGTGAGTGAGTGAGAGTGTGTGTGTGTGTGTGTGAGGGATTGAGTGAGTGAGTGAGTGAGTGAGTGGATTAAGGCTGGCGAATGCCAACTGGAGAAACAAGTGCCTCTTCACATATAGGCCTAAATGGTAAAGACTTTCTCTAGCCTAGCAGGTGCATGTCTGTATGCGTGTGTGCAAAGGAGGCGGGATTCTTGGTGAGCCGCCAGCCATAAGGTCGATGCAAAGCAGGAAGCAGAGGTCCACAGCTCTTGCGCTGCAGTTCCTGTTCTCTGCAGGGTATCGCCTTCTCAGCGTAGCTGTCTAGAGCCACAGAGCCAACACCCAGCACCGAATCACACATACACACTCACAAACACACGCATATTCACACACACACTCACACACACACACACACACACACACACACACACACACACACACACTGAGAACAGCTTTCTATATACTCAAAACCATGAGCTTTTCACTTTAGCAAACAAGGAAACAAAAGGCACTTGGAGATGAAAAACAATTTCTAGACTTTCAGAAATGCATATTAATGGAATATGACAGAAGATAAAACCTGAAGTGCTCAACTTCTGAGCCATGAGTAACTGCAAAATGAATTACTTTTTTTAACCAGTTTTTCTAAACACGCCCCCCATCTGCCATTGGCTGGACAAAGAGATAGCCCCACCCTCGGCATTTTAAACTGGAGATAAAAGATTTGAACACTTACTGTAAAAAGCCACAAATGAGCTGATAATTATTTTCATAATTATGTTATCACCAATAACCGATAAAAGGCTGATAATATAATTATATTTATCTTCATTTAATCTATTATCTATTTAAATAAATTAATTCAGAATAAAACCCTAAAATCAATTGTTTTAAATGTTACATTTGATTTCAGTAATTATAACTGTTAACCATTTTCTCACTTATTAACCAGGATGTTTATATGACATTAAGTAGTTTAACTAATACATTTAATAAAAAAAAATCAATGAAATGTAACTAAAGAATATGTTACATAGCATGGGCTCTCTATATGTGACCCTGGAGCACAAAACCAGTCTTAAGTCGCTGGGGTATATTTGTAGCAATAGCCAAAAATACATTGTATGGGTCAAAATTATTGATTTTTCTTTTATGTCAAAAATCATTAGGATATTAAGTAAAGATCATGTTCCATGAAGATATTTTGTAAATTTCCTACTGTAAATATATAAAAACTTAATTTTTGATTAGTAATATGCATATTTATTCAGAAAATTTTTGTGGTCCAGGGTCACATATTATAAATAGTATTTGGCAATCCTTTGCCAATTTATTTATTTATTTTCATAATTATGTTATGGCAAAGAACCAATAAATGACACATAATAAAATATATATACTATTAAAATTAATTAATTAATTATAAATAAAACACTAAAATCAATTGTTTTAAATGCTACATGTGAATTTAGGAATAACAGAAGTTAACATGTGACTTACTCATAGGACGCTGATTAGTAGTTTAAGATAAATATTAAAATAATAAAAAAGAAATCAGCCATTTATTTGTTATGGCCGATAACTGATAAATGGCGGATATTAAAATTATGCTCGATATGAATAAGTGAATTAATTAAAAACAGTACATTAAATCAATCGTATTAAATGCTAGATGTGAATCTAGGAATCATAACATTATAATGGATATTCATTTTTGAGGTTTACATTTAGCAGTGTTATAGCAGTAGTGTTTTTACAAATTAACTTCAAGTGAACATTAAATAAATAAATAGATACTAGCAACTAGCATGCCCAATGAAATAAACAATATTGACTGATACCAATAAATTTGGAAGAAAAAAAAAATCTCATGACTCGATATCATTCATCACTAGTATTTCTGTTTTAATATTTAGTCTACACATTGAATTGCTGCACGTAAATATGCCAATACAGCCGTCAGGTCTCTCTCTCTCTCTCTCTCTCTCTCTCTCTCTCTCTCTGATCTCATCAACTGATCAATCAGACTGTCAGTGGATATGATGCAGGGCAGGAAATGGAGAGACTGCAGGAGGGAGAGGGGCCCAGAGCGAGCGGAGCGCCGGGAATCCTGCAGCAAAGGCTGATGGGAGATTTCTACTCTCCGGGGGCAGTAGAAGCGACTCGATTCCATAAACAAGGTGCACGATCGGTCAATAGTTGCCGTCACTCAGCAGGAACAGTGAGTCGTCATGGCAGCGCCACAGGGCCTGTTTACAATCAGGCTTCCTGGGACTGAAAATATCAGTGCAAGGGAGCGTTTGCACAGCATACAAGCCACTAATGAGTCATTGTCTTTCATGACACTGCTTCGAACAGCATGTGCCTAGATTTTGGGACATGGTTCGATTTCAGACTCACCTGTTTATGTGGTCCTCTCAGGATGTGAGCTCTGGCCCCCTCACACGCCGTCCTCATGGCCTCCAGTGACGGAGTCCCCAGCAGATCTGTGATTAAGTCCAGCTAGTACATAACAAAAAAAGGAAAGAGCAGATGAGTTTTGTGTACAGAATGAATAAAGAACAGCATTTGTAAAAGATGCATAAATCAAGCTCTTTGTACACATATATTCTGAAATCCAGGAGTTCAGTTTTGCCACTGAAGTATTTTTTTATTTTTTTTTTTACATATGAATTTATTTGTTACTATATCTAGCCCATACAACTCACTGGTTTCCTCATTTAGAAGATATCCAGGGATTTTCAGGGATACCACATATTCAGGATTGTGATTATTTACAATAAAAACAATAAATTAAATATAACACTTAATATAAATCACCTTATATAACAATTACAATTACTAAGAAATGTAATAAGAACTATTGGTAACACTTTGCTTAAAGCCTCTATGTATAATGCATTATAAAGGTATTCATAATGTACGTTGTATTGCATTACATCTTTTCATAAGCAATTATAACCAAAGTTAAAATGAATTATAATACATGAAAGTTTGTTTGTTGTGTTTTTTAATGCATTATACTTTATAAAGGCGTAACAATGAATAGAATGTATTATAACTGTGGCTATAATTATTTATGAGATCATACAATGAATTATATGGCTCATTCTAAGGCATAATTAAAGCAATAAAACTATGTTTATAATGTATTATATATAAAGACCTTAAGTAAAGTGCTACCAAATTGTTAGAAATGTAAACTAACTACAACAACACCAACAACAATAAAAAAAGAATAATAAATTGTATTGCATAACTGTATTATTATAATATAGTATAATATAATATAATATAATACAATATAATATAATATAATATAATATAATAAAATATAATATAATATAATATAATATAATATAATATAATATAATATAATATAATATAATATAATATAATATAATATAATATAATATAATATAATATAATATAATATAATATAATATAATATAATATAATATAATATAATATAATATAATATAATATAATATAATATAATATAATATAATAATATAACATGTTCATGATCTGTACATAAACAAACTGGAGCAGAACCATGTTCAAGTAAATCAAATTCTTTACTGGAGAGAATTTAATGAGCCTTAAAGGGGATGTCGATGTGCTGTAGGTGCACATTCAGGGCTGTGTGGACACACACACACATACTCACACTGTGAGGAACAGCTAGTCCCAGAGTCTCTGACACACTGCAGGGCCAGTATTATTAGAACATATGGCTCATAATATTCTATGTGAACTACATAAAACAAAAAAGTGTATCTGTAGTTGTACTGCTCAAACAGTTTCTTACTTATGTTACTGCATCACACTTAGGGCCCTATCATACACCCGTCCTGCGCCGTGTTGTTTAAATCGCAAATGCATTTGTGCGCCCATGGGCATGCTGGTCTAAAAAAGAGGTGTGTTCAGGCGCATTGTTGGCGCGTTGCTATTTTGAGGAACTGAAAATAGACTGCGCCATATACCAACTCAAACCTGGTCTAAAGTCTGGCGCAATATGCGCCTATAGGCGGGTACACAACGAGCATACACTTTGCTCATTACACACACAGGGACGCACAGCAGCACACAAACATTTTTAAATATGAAAAATTACATTCCGCCATGGTGCGAGCACAACTGGCTTTTAAAGGGGATGGGAGATGAGACTCTGATTGGTTTATTGCACGTTACGCCCAAAAACACCCATTACTCATTAAGAGAATAGGGACAACCTGTTAAGACAATGCGCCCAGGCACGCCGACCGTTTTCCCGTCGTTAAACTAGCAAAAGTGGATTCGGCCACGCCCTGAGTGCACCTGCGTCGTGCGCTTTAGACCATGCGCTTATATCGTTAAAATAGGGCCCTTAATGTTTATGAGACTCTGAACAAAATAAGAGTAGAGGCTTCTGTGCATATGTGAAAGCTAGAGACAGGTTCTGCTCATGGAAAAACTCACAGCTATGGAGGACAGAGGGCTTCTGGGTCACGGCCACACTGGGACTTCAGTACAACAGAGCCTTGAGCTGCCCCCGCTCGCTCATTAGCATGGCTGTACAACATTTGCCAAAAATATCGTACATTAAGGTCACATGTTTAGCATCAGCGTCCAAGATTTTCTGTTTTCACTAAAAATGTTACAAAGCTGGGTATCTATAAAAGCACTACTAATGTAACTTTTCTTGTTTATTAAATTATTAAATATCATACCATTCTATTAAATTCCTTTATTTTTAAGGGAAAAAATGTTTTCCAAACAATACCGGATTGAGTAATGTTAAACTTAATTGTAAGTGAGTTAAATAGAGAGTTAAAATATTTAACACCATAAATGTACATAAAATACTTCTTATCAGCCATGAAAGTTGTATTCTGCATCAAAAATATATAGGCTATAT